TTTGCAGGATTATGTTATGCTGAATTTGGAGCCCGGGTTCCTAAAACAGGATCTGCCTATCTCTACAGCTATGTGACTGTGGGGGAGATATGGGCTTTTATTACTGGCTGGAACCTCGTCCTTTCTTATATCATTGGTATGCAGCACAAGTGTGAGACAATTATGAAAACTTCTATTTTTAGTTTTTTTTTTCTTGTAAAACTGTCTTAGGTGCAAAATATAAAGATAAATTAAATAATTTCTTTCAGTACTTTGAACAATATTCATATTTATTAACATTTTCACACACTTGGAACACCAAATCTGTAACTTTAACTAGATATCCCCAAAGTAGCAAATGACAAACATTTCCATGATACAACCTCTGGAAATATGAATGTGCATTTATATTCAGAATCCAGAATTTGGATTGGTTGCTTCTTGCACAGCCTACATACAGGCCGACTCATTTTGTAAATTATAAGATTTTCTAAAGCAATTGGTTGCACTGGATCAAATTAAAAGGCTTGGAATACAAATGCATGCTGCACTTTTCCATGAATTGTTTTCTTTTTACGTCCCAGTTTGTGACTTATTTGAGTTGGAAATCCAAAAGAATAAACTGAAATTTGTGCTTGTAAAATGGGAAAAGTGAAGGGGAACAAATGTTTTTTTCAAGGCATTGCACATTGTATGGAGTTTGCCACATGTTAGGTAAAATTTTGTTACCCTTTTTAAACACTTTTTTCTTGTGTCTTCGCTAAAGGAACTGCAAGTGTTGCAAGAGCATGGAGTGGGACCTTTGATGATCTCACTGGAAACATGATTGGCAACTTTATGGGTCAAAGAGCCATGATAAATGTACCTGGACTTACTCCATACCCAGATGTATTTGCAGTTGGCCTTATAATCATCTTATCAGGCAAATTTCATGATTTACCATACATTTACATGTATTCAACAAAAAGCATTTTGCTGAATACATGTAACAAAATGCATGTATTCTGTAGTTTGTATGTGTTCAAACTGATTGCTTCTTCGTTTTACTTTTCATAGGAATTCTTGCATTTGGAATAAAAGAATCAGCTATGCTAAATAAGGTATTTACAGCCATAAACATTGTGGTGTTGCTGTTTGTTATCCTTTCTGGTTTCATCAAAGGGGACATCAACAACTGGTACATTAATGTAGAGACTTTCCAAGGAGCACTTAAGTATGAGCATCTTTTGGTTTAAAGTTGTATTTGAGTTGCTTCTGTGTGGTTCAAACTGAATGATGACATGTCCTGTATTTAAAGAAATCACACATTCCTTAATGACACCAGCCAACGTGGAACTGGAGGATTTTTTCCCTTCGGCTTTGAGGGCACATTAGCTGGAGCAGCCACTTGCTTTTATGCATTTATTGGATTTGACTGCATTGCAACAACAGGTAACTAAAAGGTTATTTGTTCCAGAGTTGCAAACCTAAATTATTCAAAGCAACATGTTTTTATATCTGTGAGACTTTCTGAAGAAAGAATATTTTCTTTGGTTGCGTCCTCAGGAGAGGAAGTTCAGAATCCTCAGAAGTCGATCCCAGTCGGCATAGTGGCATCCCTCCTCATCTGCTTCCTGGCTTACTTTGGTGTGTCCGCTGCCTTGACGCTGATGATGCCATACTATTTGCTCAGCATTAACAGCCCACTGCCTGTGGCTTTCTCATATATTGGTTGGGGCCCGGCAAAGTATGCAGTGGCCATTGGATCCCTCTGCGCACTTTCAACAAGGTACAACCTATTCACTTGTTGCCATCTGTGTACTTATACTAAGGTAAAAGATTTAAGTTTGAAACTCAATAAAACTCTGTATTTTAGATTAATTCCATCCAGATTTTCAGAACATCTCACTGTTCTTCTTTTTAGTGTAGACAAAATTGATATGGATATGAACATTGCAAGAATACTGCAGGATATTTAAGCAATGGTAATGTTTACTGAGTGTTTTTCATCTAGTCTGCTGGGATCAATGTTCCCGATGCCTCGTATTCTCTTTGCCATGGCTAGAGATGGACTTCTCTTCAGATCTCTCAGTAAAATGAGCTCCAGAAAAAGTCCTGTCATTGCAACGATTGTTTCTGGGATTATTGCAGGTAATGCATCAACATTTTTAGGCATTTTCATGTTTTTTTGTTTTGTTTGTTTTTTAATGATTTTTTCTCATTATTTCTCTCGAAGCTGATTTTGTCTTTTTTTTTTTTTTTTTACTGAAATGAAAATTTATTCAAAAATAGTCAAAGCACTTTTTGAACTGCATGGCTCAAGTATTGAAATATATGAAATAGTTTGTAAGTGTGATTTAATTAAATTTATGTTAAATCCAGTTAACATAATCATGTCTTTGCAGCCATCATGGCAGCATTCTTTGACTTGAGGGCGCTGGTTGACATGATGTCAATTGGAACACTCTTTGCCTATTCACTTGTTGCCATCTGTGTACTTATACTAAGGTAAAAATCACTGTCCACTTCATTATTGTTTATTTTCTAGATTCAAATTTGCAATGCTTTTTGAGATTATGTTTGATTTACTGCACCTTTAGATGCCATAGATTTTATTGTAAACCAAAACACTTCACTCTAAAATGACTTATGCCCCTGACAGATTTAGGCCTAGATACATGTATTTTTTTTCAACCTGAAAGTTTGTTACTGATAGAAAACGAAAGTATCAAATTTAATGTCTACAAAATATTCATTCATCAAAATCTTGGCCTCACCAAGGGCTCTTTACAGTGAATGTCTCTGTGAAAGTGAAAGCAGTGCTCAGATATTTGGTATTGTGTTTAGATGCTCAGAGCACAGCTGAAGCTCTTGTCTTTTCAGTCTTTTCAATTTCAAAGTGCTCACTTTATGAAGCAAGAGAACAAATGTTTTTTACGCACCTGTAAACTGTACTGAAATACATTTGTGAGTTGCATCATAAAGGCGTTGTATCAAAAGAAAGAGGAAACATGATGCTGAGCTACCACTACAGCAAACGCTGCATGAAAACATTATCAGTAGGTGCAGAACAATTTCTAAAAACTGATTAACTGTTGCGTTGTTTTACTACACTTCAGAGCTAATGAGTTTTGAAACATACACAAAACTTTTTTTGTGTATGGAATCTTTTTTAATAACCTTTAAAGTTTATATGAAAAAGCTACATGCATGCAACATCCCAAACTTATTTGCATCTCTTTACTTGTACAGGTACCAAGCTGAGTTCAGTGAAGTTTCAAGTTTAATCAAGTCAGAACCATTCACAGTATTAGGTTTACTGTATCCTCCCTCCCAAGGAACCCAACAGACATCAAGGATTGTGTCTATTTTAACTATTGCTAGTGGTAATTCTCGTTTATGTCCTATATGCTTCATACTTTACACAAAAACTGTTTATTGTGAGGGATTGCTTAATTTTCCATTACCTCTTCTCCCCAGTTTTAATTTGCATAATTCTGAGCATCTTAATGTCCAGTGGTACAGACTCCCAATGGACTCTTCAATGGTGGACTTTACTTTGTATTTTTGTGTTCTGGGTTATACTCATTCTTACTGTATTACTCATCTGGAGACAGCCACAGAGTCCAGCCAAAGCTTCTTTCATGGTATGCTAATGATGCATGTTTATGCAATATCTGATTTGTATTGTCAGTTATCAAAATTTTGATATGATAGTATTTCAGTTATTAACTAGTATTACAAACCTTGTCTGGAAACCTTTTTTCTTCAAAAATCTTTTTTTTTTCTTTTTGTCCACAGGTCCCTTTTGTGCCTTGGCTTCCCATTTTTAGCACTTTTGTCAATGTCTATCTCATGGTTCAGCTTGGATCAGCCACCTGGATTCGTTATGTAGTCTGGATGGCACTAGGTATGACAAGATGACGTAACAGCTTCAGAAAAAGACACATTTAATGTAAAAATCCTCTCACAATGTCAGTTTGATCACAGATGATGTACCTTTTTTCAACAGGTTTAATCATCTACTTTTGTTATGGGGTTCAGCACAGCGTACAGAAACAAAGGATGGAGAACTTGGTTTTTAAACTAGCACCACAATGATGTGGTAAAAGCTTTGAACCTGAATATTAAAGGAATTTTATGCTCAAAGCATTTGCATTAATTTTTGAAAAGTATTTGCCTCTGGTGTTAAGCCTTTCATATTAACTGTGCTACTTAGATTCTAGAAAAATATCTTTTACACAAACATAATATTGAACCTTATTTCTATTTTACTACAAATGACCAACATCATATTCCCACAAGGTCACAGACAAAATTCTGTCACTTGTAAGGTTTGTCCTAAGAAGTAGAACGTGTCAATAAATTTGTATTTTGATGATGAGGCAAAACACTGCTGTATTTTGTATCTATCTATCTATCTATCTATCTATCTATCTATCTATCTATCTATCTATCTATCTATCTATCTATCTATCTATCTATCTATCTATCTATCTATCTATCTATCTATCTATCTATCTATCTATCTATCTATCTATCTATCTATCTATCTATCTATCTATCTATCTATCTATCTATCTATCTATCTATCTATCTATCTATCTATCTATCTATCTATCTATCTATCTATCTATCTATCTATCTATCTATCTATCTATCTATCTATCTATCTATCTATCTATCTATCTATCTATCTATCTATCTATCCAAGGACTGTGAAGAAATTTTCATTGACTTTGAGCTGTGTCACATTTGTGTCAAATTTACAGACATTCGCTAATTCGCAACACAGTAAAGAATCTTTGTTTTTCTGTTGTTTACATGAACTCCATGGAGATGAATGCTAAACTCACCTTCACATTCATAAAATGGGGGAGGACGGAACCAAAAAAAAAAGTCGCCTCATTTCAAGTAGGCAGAGTTTATTGAACGCACAACCCTTGACAGTACTAACCAATGAGAAGAAAGTAAGTCATCGGTCTCAGCCAATCACAGAAGGGAAAGCGCATCGTTCAAAAAACCAAACGTTATCGGGTAGAACCAGTCAGCTGGAGAACTGAGCGGCGAAAACAGAGAACGTGGTTTGATACACCAGACTTAAAGAAAGTATTTTGCTTTTTATACAGTCTTTAAAAGACATTTATTGGAATCTAGTCGGCCTTTTTTTATTTTGACAAGACAAACAGACCGTTGCTTTAAAGGTAAGTCATTCAATACATATTAAAACCTCGGACAGTTAGTTCTGGATAAAATTAATGTATTTCAGAAACTTTCTAATTAATCACAAGAATATATAAATCGTTTAGTTGATCGGTGTAGATGGGCGTCTTACATTTGCGCACGTTTTGGAGAAAAATAAGTGTATTCGTATTAAATTATATCAAATAATTTTGAGTTTTATGCGTTATAAACCCGATGTGGTGTTAGCTGCACGCCCAAGGCTGGCAATAGTGTGTAGCATAGCCTGGCAAAGTAACAAGTATTCTCAGTGTAATGTTTTTGAAGTAAAAAAACAACACTACTGCTACACTAGCCCGCTATTTTAATTGTTTATTTTACAATAATGATAATAATAATGCAACATCATACAAACATTCAACGAGTTTTGGTCCGGGGTAATTATCTGCAGTGTGTTCCCCTGCCGCTAGATGCCGCTCGTAACCCCAAGCCACAGTTATTTAATTTAGAGAAATGTTTTTAGTAAGTGAACACTAGAGATATAAGCTGTTTCATGTTATTAGAAATTTGCCAGATTATAGTTAGCATATTTCAGAACACTTTTCAAGAAAAGATTAGCTTTTAATCTGTGTCTTCTATTACTTTGCATCATGAGCAACCATATAATAAAGTATTTTTTACTAGCCTGATTACAGAATCAGATTTCTCTGAGGATACTAAATTTTCTGAAACAAAAATGGTTAAAGTGTTGAGGACTATAAATGTACAAAGTAATATTTCAGAAAGCTGTGTGCTTGGACATCCCACTTTCATTCCAAAGAAATTCATGATGATTTGGTGTTGCAGGAAAGCATGGCGCTGTCTTTGTCTTCCCCGTATGGATGTCACTCTGATGATGAAGAGGATCTGGCTGTGTTTGAGTCCACAGCAGCAGAGCTGTGGACTCAAGGAGGAATGACCAGACCACGTCTGCCTGAGATCTCTGTTATTTCGCCCGGGCTCGAAACCAGGCCAACCATTTCACAGCTGGTGAGACTCAACAAAAACATGCTGCTGTTATTTATTTTTTTTTCTTCCCTTTTTTTTGTCACAAAAACGCTGTGATATATTGGTTAAGCTGTACCAATATATCAACAAATGTTAAAGCAAACTTGTTATTTTTACCTTTGTCTATTTTAACTTGACCTCATATTTATCCTAATGGAAAAGCCAAAGCAGCAAATTATTCTGTCTTATTTTGTCATGTAGAAAGTTGCTGCGAAACCTGGCAGTTCTGATGAGGGGACCTCAGAAAGGGTGAAAGTTTTTCTGCGCATCCGCCCACTGACTGACTCAGAAAAAGGACAAGAGCAGGTTGGAAAGTCTTTTGTTTGTAACTATTAGCATTTGAGTTCTCTGAAATGCACCTTCACAAGCAAGTTATTCATGCTTGTGAATAACCTATAGTCACTTCCTTTCTTTTCGCTCTTCTCTTCTAGGGCTGTGTGGCGATCCAGGATGAGGAGACATTGCTGCTCAAAGCTCCATATGAGTCTCAGAACATGAGGATGGCAGAAAGAGGAATCACCCAGAGCATTCACAAGTTCAGTTTCTCGAAGGTAGGAGAGTTGTAGGTTTGCTTGTTCTTTTTAAGCTTAAGTTTGAGAGAGTAGAATCAGGGTAGCTTGAAAAATAAGAAGCTGAGATTAAACAGTGTTCTTTTTGACCTAAGTAATACTCAAAAAAAAAAGACCTCATGATAACATATCTGTTATTTAGAAAGTGGCAGATCTAAATGTTTTTTCATTGATTTTCTTTCCTAGATATTTGGTCCAGAAACGACTCAGCAACAGATCTATGAAGGCACAATGAAGAAAATGGTGAGCGATGTTCTCAAAGGAGAAAACAGGCTTCTCTACACTTATGGCGTCACCAACTCTGGAAAGACTTACACCATTCAAGGTACATTACCTCTTGTAGTAATGTATATGTAAACATATAAAGTTTACATATGTATGTAAACTGTATATCTGAAACTTTCCCCTTTAGGCAATGGTCGAGAGGCAGGTCTGTTGCCACGGGCGTTGGTGTCTCTGTTCAGGAAGCTGCAGGGTCGTCTCTATGGTGCGATGGACCTGAAGCCCGTCATGTATCAGGATGTCAGGCAGCTGGACAATAGTGAGATCAAGATGGAAGAAATACGAAGAAACTCCCTGCTCAAAGAGGTAAAAGACGCCTAATCAGCATAGTAAACTTTCTGTCAAATAAGAAAGATTTGCACTCCTGGAAAAAATTAAGTTTAAAGAAATGTCTTATACTGCAGTGTCATGGTTGCAGACTAGAAACTGGTGTTTTCTGTGTCAATTTATTTTTATCTCCTTTTTTAAAAAGGACTATAAACGACGATAAACTTTTTGTAAGAAAAACGGGTCTTTGTCCTGCCTCTTTTAGTTGCAATTGTTTAAAAATATTTTAATTACTGTAGATATGAGCATATCAAGAAGAGTAGCTATTCTCTTCTTCAATGCATTTCTTGACTTATGCAAATAAACATGTTTGCCTTACTTGAATGACATGTTAAGTTTTTTACATTTTGAAGAGTAGCTAAGAGAAACAATGTCATGGATCATTATTTAGCATTTCCTTGGAATTCTAAAAATGTAAAAATATGAATTATACATAACAATATGCTATAATTTTATTTTACATTATATTTTTGCATTGGTGATTTTGTATTTCACTCTGTTCCCCCCTGATCGGTTGTCTTCAATTTAAAGGCTAAAGTTCCACTGTTCCACTCCATTCAAAGTGAATTATCTGTCTTTCTTACTAACCAACATAAATAGTTTTGCACTGATTCTGTGTCATAGTTTAGACTCACAACTCTGTTATTCTTTTAATGTTTTGAAATCACTTTCAGTCTCTGATCTGCAGCTGTTTAAATTATTGTATTAGATTAGTGAACGAGGTTTTGCAGATTTGAACTCATAAACCATACTGATGTGTTTCAGGATGAAAATCAAACTTCTCGTCGAGCTGGAACCACCACAGCCTGGGACAGTGGCATTGGAGGGCTTTCTTCCACCACACACACTGCTACTCAGCTTGAAGGTTGGACATAAAATGATACGTTTTCGCTATTTTTTCTTTCAGTAGATTTTTATTAACGTACCTGAAGAATAGGCTGTTTTTGATGCACTGAAAAAGGATAACTGATAAATTGTCCCCCCTCTGTTTACAGACACGGACAGCGTGTGTCTGGATCCCAACAGTCTGTCACTCAGTGGAGGCTGTGACCTAGAGGAGGGGTTGCAGTTTTCTGTCTGGGTTTCCTTCTATGAGATCTACAATGAGTTCCTGTATGATCTGCTGGATGCTTCGCCCTCCCAGCAGCCCCGAAAAAGAGTTACTCTGCGGCTCAGTGATGACAAGCAGGGCAATCCTTACGTCAAAGGTCATTCTCGTTTATTCACTGTAATATCTTTGAAGTATTTTTTTATGAAGTAATAATTGTCTGTCTTCCTTTTTGTCATATCAGATCTCACTTGGATTCAGATTCGCAGCGCTGAGGAGGCCTGGAGGATCCTGAAGGCGGGACGGCGTAACCAAAGCTTCGCCAGCACTCACCTAAACAAAAACTCCAGCAGAAGGTTGGAGCCTCTTACACTTTTCTTTCTTTAAACATCCTCTTGACATGTTTCCAAAATGAATTTATTCAAATTGCATTTGATGTTTTGTGTTTTTTCCTCATATCATTAGCCACAGCATCTTCTCCATCCGCATCCTTCATGTTCACCCAGAAGCCAGTTCAGGCCAGACCATGCACATCAGCGAGTACGTTTTAACTGATTTTAATTTTAAATGGTTGTCTTTAGTTTTTTGAGGTAGTAAAACTAAGCGTTGCCTCGTTCGCAGGCTGACTGTGTGCGATCTGGCCGGGTCGGAGCGCTGTAAAGAGCAGCATAATGGTGAGAGGATGAAGGAGGCCAACAACATCAACACCTCCCTCCTGACGCTGGGACGCTGCATCGCTGCTTTGAGGCACAACCAAAACAATAAGTACGACGCTCGTGAAAGAGGCAAAATACGAGCGACAGAATGAAAGCATGTTTTTGACTTCAGTGTGAATCTAAAATGCGTTGCCAGGTCCAGGCCCCCGCAGGTGGTTCCTTTCAGGGACAGCAAACTGACCCGGGTCCTGCAGGGCTTCTTCTGCGGCAGAGGAATCTCCTGCATGGTGGTCAACATCAATCCATGCACCTCCATTTATGATGAGACCCTTCAGGCACTCAAGTTCTCTGCTATAGCTACACAGGTGATTAAAAAAATCTCTTACTATAAAATTTCTGAGATGCATTTTTGGCTCTACATTCAAGAAGAATGTCAAAGAAAGCCGAGTAGATTGTTGGCTTCATTGGAACTTTCTGGTGGTGCAAGCTGGAAACTACAACACTGGATCTTTTTCTGATCAGTGAATGCTCCACGCTAAACTACCTGATCTCACTGATAATTCTTTGTTGTGGAAGCTACCGAGTGAAGACTCAAAGATGCGCTGCTTTGCAATTTGAGTTCGAAAATGAACTCAGAGGAAAGGCAGAGATGCAAGAAGCTCTTTAAATTTTCTATAAGGTGTTGATCTTTCTGCACTTTATTCAGGCTGGAAAAAAAAAAACATTTGCAATGATGTTCTATTTATCTGAAATGAGTTGGCTAAAATCTGTGTAATTCCAGCTTGTCCACGGCCCGTCCACTAAGACCAGAGTGGCCTACATCCTCTCTCTGCTCCGAGACCCTGCAGCACATGGCAGTGAAAACACTGTGATAGAGGAGGAAGAGGATGAAAGTGACGTAGAGGATGGAGATATCACCTTGTTGAATACGGAGGTACTGTTCTTCATCGCTCTTATTCTTTTGGATGAGGTAACAATTCCATGCTTAGCAGAGCAAACCCATCTGTTAAAATACTGGCAAAAAAGCTTTTAATAGATGAAGTAGTTGCTCTATTCTTTAACAGCTAAAAAATAGAGCACAGTGTAACAAACTTCATTAAATGATTATTCATTATCCCGATTATTAATTGATTGTGTGAAGAATCTGGTAGATGCTCAGCAAACCCTTCTTCAAGGAAAGTCTAATCTTTGGAAATCCATAAACCAGTTGTCTTAATTTTAGTGTAATTTGAAAATCTGTAAAGTGTCTTCTTCACACATTTAAAATCTGGAACATTTTCACTAATCTGCCATCCAACGGTGTGTGTTTTATAGTCTCTACTGCAGGCCATCGACGTCCTGAAGAGAGAAGTGCGGCGCCAGCGGGAAGAAAAAGAAGTCCTGGAGGCTAATGTGAGAGAGCAGGTTGTCTCTGAAATGATGGAAGTCATCACAGGAATGCAAGAGGGATTCACGTATGTAGGCTTCATCTATTACAGATTTTGGTTTGATTTATAATACTTTGCAGCAGGAGTGTCAATATACAAGGTGGATTAATTAAAGGCTTGGTCAAACTGCCACGGCAAACTGATTTAAAAAAAAAAAAGCAATGTTTTTTATGTTGTATTGTTTGTTTATATCTGTTGGTCCAGCACACCAGTCCAACAGATCAACATTATGAACAGACTGCCTGTTTTTCACCTTTTTGTTTGGCTAGATGTAACTGGTAGCATGAGGTCGCTAATGAATGTCAACAGGAGAGGGGGATTGTGGGTTCTGACTGACATGACAATGCAACAACAGATTATCATGGAATTTATTATATTGTGTAACATGTGTGTGTGCTTTGTCTGTCAGTAGGCCAGCTCTAATTGGCATTGATCTTTTGGGCCAAATGTAATTACATTGTTGGCCAGTAGGCCTGAGTTTGACACATGTACGCTGCAGACCCTTGAAAAATAAGCAATTATTTTCAAGTACCAACACTGTTTTTAAAATCATTTTATTACATGAGTATGAAAGACTCTTTTGTCTGTCTAAAATATATATATATGTGTGTGTGTGTTATGAAAACTGGCTTTTTCCAGCATTTTGCAAGTGACATCCCTTATTATCTTAACTTAAATCTTCTGTTCAAATCATTGATGGTTTTGTTTTTTTGAGTTATCAATAGAGACCAAATATAATTGTAACATTTAAAATAATCTTCACAACGTTTGGTCCTTTGGATCCTCTTAGATTAGGGTTTTAAACTGGCCTCTGGCTCTCAGGCTTGGGTGTGACTTTTTTTGTTAAAATTAAAAAGAAATTTAATAAAATCAAACCAACCCACAACTATTTAACGTAGGATGAATGAATCCAGAGCTCGCAAATTAAATATGGAATATTGTAGCTAGTTTTTCAGATGCAGTGAGATGAGGTTTACTGATTGTTACTTTTAACGGTTAATTCTTTGTAACAAGAATTGACTTGGCTCACATGACAGAGTAACATTAAGATAAAGAAGGAAATGCTGAACTGGACGTGATGGACGTGGATGATGAGTTGTTGCGTCTTCCTGTCAAACAGTGAGACGTTGGAGGCTGAGAGGGCGCTGATCGAAGAGAGGTATGAGGACAAAATATGTAATCTGCAGAAACATCTGAAGAAATTCTACAGCGAGGAGCTGAAGGTAAGATTTATCTTGCTGTGTGTTTAGAGACTGAAATGTCCTTGAACATTTTCACATCGTTTCACCAAAAACAAACAAGACTTTTCGGAACAAGTATTCAAATTTTTTGAATATGATTGCATCTCTTTACTTTCCAAAATATTAAAGCTCACAGAGGTAGGTCTGTGCAGGATGTTAGGATAAAAGTGAAGGTCTCAGAAAAACACTGCTATTTGTATCAGTGCTGTAACCAGGTAACTTCTGAGGGTTAAGCTTGTATTCTTGATTTGTGGATAGGAGCGTGATCAGGAAATTGAAGCTTTGGCTGCTGCCCTTGACAAAAAGCAGAAGGAAGATGGCGGCTCCATGACAGCACCACCCGTAGAGTCAGAGGGGCCTCGGCGCTCTCACCGCCTCTCCTCTCAGACTGAGCTGAACCAACTGCGTGCTGAACTCGACCAGTGTCGCGCTGAGCTTCTCACCAAGACCCAGGGTACAGTCCGACTGCAGCGACTTCAGTCCGAAGCGCTATTAGTTGTTATTAGCAGCCATTGAGTGTGTTGCTCTGTTTGCCTGTGCAGACCTGGTGAGGCTGAGGATGAAGCTGGATGTGCCAGGTTCTGCCGGCGCCCTCACCGCCGCAGCGGATCGCAAGCTGCAGGAGGGTCAGCGGGTCAGTTCCAGCTCCATCACCTCAAAGGAACTTTTTCTTTTAGCTGCTAGTGATCCTCTTCCCTCTAGCAGAGACTAAAAATATTCTCTTTTTCTTCTTCCTCGACAGAACCTGCGCCAGCTCCGACTGGACCTGCAGAAGCTGGGAGTGGATCTGCAGTCTGGTGAAAGAGCTTGTTGCCGCAACACAGGAGGAGAGAGGCTGCGGCACACACTCACTGCTGCAGACGATACTCTTGCCAAACAGGTAGAACAAATGATCCTGTTAAGTTTCTATAGGTACAACTAAATAACTAAAAATGTCAAAGACGGAATTTATTTCTATAATTCCATTCAAACTGTGAAGTTTGCATATTATGTAGTTGTACTGAACACAAAGTGATTCATTTTAAGAATTTATTTCCACCTTTGTGAATTATGGCTTGCAGCTAATGAAAAGACAAAATAGTTTTTAATTTTTCAATGACCAGATTTTAGTGGATTTCCATCAGCTGGAAGCTAAAATTATCCAATCACTTTGAATGTGAATAGTGTATTCTTCAAATTAAATTTCTGACAAGTTTTTGATGTGATTTATTGATATTCACCTGTAGAATAAGTAATAAATACTGAGTTTTTTTTTTTTAATTTCTTATTTTGAAATACTTTTCTTCTCTCCCTTTTCTTCCTAACATTCTTGTTGCACAGCCAGCTTTAAAACTGAATTTGGGTTTCTAACACCTTCACCAGGTGATAAGTGGGCTGGAGCATGGTGCATTTTCACTCTTCCCATCTCTAATCATCTCCAGCCTCGTCTTTCCCTTCGCCCTCCGTGTTCCTGTCTAACCCTCTCCACTGACTTCTTCTCAGAACCAGATCCTGCTGGAGCTTCAGAATGACCTCACTCTGGTCAAAGCAGACTTGCGGCGGAAGGCGGAGACCCTGGCGGGCCGCGCACAGCCTCCCACTACAACTTTTGCCGCACCCACTACTCCAGGCTCCTGCAAAAAGAGGGGCTGCATGGCAACTACGCCGAGCGAATGCGAAAACCGGCTGCCCCAGAAACGGCCCTTTTTCCAGTCTCTGTTTCCGACTCGCACCCCTTCGCGTAAATGCAACGCCCATGCAGCTGCAGAATCCAGCTTGACTCCATCTTCGCGAATCTTGCGCTCCCGTCAGCCGTCTCCACCCCCGAGTCCCCTCCTCACCCCACGGAGCCTCAGAGGAAAATACTGAGCTGTTTTTTAAAATGGTTCGATTAAGCTTTCTGATTCAATGCTAAATTTATCAGCTGGTTACCTTTATATTTTTATGCTGTCTTTTTTATATATTTACTTTTTGCAGTCATCCAAAATATGACTATCAGTTAATGCCAGTAAAATGATCAATGCTTTAAGATTTTTCTCTGGGATTAAAGGACTGTAAGGTCAGAGTCGTGCATGTCTGTAAATCAGCTTCCTGTGCCTTGGCGACAAATATTTCCCTAACACCACAATAAATGTCTGAACTGTGTGATTATAATGGACAAAGCTCATGCACAGCGAATTAAACAACTAAATGTTCACTTGCTGCTTCTATGTTTTCTAGTTTCTATTCTAAAGTAGAACTTTTTCTTGTCTTGTCCCATTTGTATGGGCTGCGTGCCAAAAGTTCTGTTTGTTACATTTTCATGTTCTGTTTCATATTGTGTCTAAGAGGTTTTAGGGATTTTTGTTTGAAAAATAAAATGCAGTATATTATGTAGCATTTGAAATATGCTCTCTAATGCTATTTCTTTCAAATGTAAAATATTGCCTTTTAAAATCTAGAATTCCCAAAAGGCACAAGAATCAAACTGATCTTGTTTAAAGGGGTGAGAAGCATTCATTGTATGTTGTAAATGCAAAAGACCAAAAGGTAGGATGCTCATTTCTCACTCTATTTTTAAATACATAGTAGGAAAATAATCAAATATTTTTGTCCTCATTATATTTTGCTACACAAAAGATATCAGATATTGTCAGTCTTTTGCATTTGGCAATGTACTTTATTAGAAATTAACTGGAAGGTTTAAAAAAAAAAAAAACATTTCTCTAAATACATAAACAGACAAATATTTGCAATTAAAACTGTTTATTTTCAGCACATTTCTGTCCATATTGCGTAGAAGGAGTATCATGGCGTGAAGGAGATGAGGTTCAGGGGAGACACCCTCCTGACCGGTGTGGTGTTTGAGAGCGGAGTGAACAGATCTGCTGAAGGCGTTTCCACCTGATCTCTGACCTGTGAGATGTGCCTCAGCAGAGCCTTCCCCTCTTCTCGTGCCTACAGAGCGATCAATCAATATAACTACTGACTTTGGCAGAATAATCATGGATTCCATGTTTAAAACTTACATCGTTGTAGTCACAGCAGCGCTGCGCACAGACCGAAGCCTCGTCATAGAGTTTGTTCTTGAAATAATACTGACCCAGGTAGCGCAGAGCTGTGCTCACCTCTGCATGCTCCAGTTGTTCCTGAAAGAACATTGCCATTAAAAAGACTCATTCAGTTCAACACACTCACTTAAATACTATTCAACCTCAGGTGTCATTCAAAACATACAAATTAACCTGCTGCTACAACTGAATTAAATGCTTTTGAGGACAAAGCTGACAGCTGAACATAGCAAAGAAGTTTTCTATTCAAAGTTACAATACATATTCCACCAAATTCTTACCCCATAAGAGAAAATGTCCTTAATGTAAAGCATGTAACACTGAGCAGCATCATCAGACTCATTCAGCTGTTCATGGAGCCTGTGGAGGGATGAGATTACATTTAATGAAAAAAGAAGCTGAAAAATTAGCTACAAATGATCTAAAACCGAGGTTATTGATCCATTTTCTACCCAATAAAAAAATTAATTTATTTAAGGGGAGATATCAATGGATGTAGAAATATGAAAATAGAAGATGGAATAATGTATGTCATTTACTTTTAAAGAGTATTTAAATGTCCAAACTAGGCTGGAACTAGTGCAACACTAAAACACTAAATTGCTAAATGTCACTTTTTTTAACAAATGAGAACAGCTTACTTTGCCAGTTTAAGAAGAGCCATTTTTTCTACATCGCCAACAGAATAAGCCCTCCAGTAGCACTGCAAAAGAAGAATAAATATCTCAAACAAAAATTATAAAAAAAAAAAAAAAACAGCTGAATATTTAGAAAATAAACCCAAGGTGCTGATAGCTGCAAGATGTTTACTTTCTTGGCTTCAACGTGCTGAGAGAGTTTTTCATAGCTTTCCCCCAATGCAACCAACATGCGAGAGTCATTGGGTCTGGAGGCAAAATGATCAAATCAGTTCAATGTGTTTAAACTGAATATAAACATTAAAAAATAAATTAATCCAAACCTGAGCTGGTGAGCCTTTCGGTAGTAATACAAACAGTAAAAAGGCATCTTAAGGATTTCATATGTCTGACCTAATCCATACCAGGCACGGTAATCCGCTTGTTCACTTCAATTGCGTGCCTGGGGGAAAAAAACAAGCAGAGGTAACATTTCTTTAAAACATGAGATCTGCAGGTTTTAAAGCAAAACGTTATCCGACCTGTAGGCCTGGATGGCGGCTGAAGTGTTCTTCATTTCCATGTATTCGTGGCCCATGAGGGTCCAGGCTCCAAGACAACGAGGGTTCAGTTTCAGCGCACGCTGGAAGTACAGAGCTGCTTTCTCATGCTGAGAGCGTAAACTGTAGTAGTTCCCTTTAAATGAAACAAAGTTCTCCTCAGAAACCCGTTGAGGTCCAGGCAGTTGGTTAAGAGACAAGGGTCAGAGTTGAATGACGGGATGTTTTTGACTTACTTCCAGTTTTAAGTTTGATTTATTTTGAACCTTGACAACTTTGTTACATTCTGTCAAGCTGTAGCTACAACTATAGTTTAATGGGCTTTTATGTGATGGTCCAGCACAAAGTAGAAAAAATATATTTTGGCTTTTTAAATGCACTTCAATTACAAACAAGAAAAGTGTTTGTATTGGAATTCAGCTCAGTGTCAATATTTTAGAGAAAAGTCTACATCAGTTTTGCATGTGCTATCACTTAAAATTTGCCCTTTTGTTTTTTATGAAATAGTTCAGACTGGAGAGAACCTTAACATTAATTTCAAATTTGCAGCCACAGAAAACATTGGTTTAATTTTTGGACTGTGACAGAGATTTTAACATCCATGTTTCAATCTAAACTTCTCTTTCGTAGCTGTGACAGTTTTCTAAGAGTTGTCACTGTGCTGCAAATTTAAACTCTGCTAAGCCTCAGCTTTCCAGAAACCTCCAACATGTTTTCTTCCGGGTTTCTCTGCATCTTTCCCAACAACTGACAAGTTTCCCCACATCACAGCATGATGCTGCTCCTAAGCTCATGCTTAGTGGAACATGGTTGAACACCAAAAAAATATAATATTGATCTGATGAAACCAGAACACCTTCGTCCATGTTGTTTCTTCCTAACTCCATTTTCTCACTACGGGACTTCAGAAAGAAATTTAGTTATCTGAATTATATTTACTGGTATCAAAGTAAGGGAAATTGAATACAAAAGCATGCTATATATATATATGTATATATTTTTTCATCAGCAACAAAAAATTAATACTGCATTGGAGAATCTTCCTCCTGCTTTACAATTGCGTAACTTCATGTTGAATTGGGGCAAATGTCAAAATATATTGACTTGCAGTTGCAAGGAGACAAAATGTGGAAACAATGTTTTGCACGGCTCATACTCTCTTTGAGGAACAAACTCAAGACTGTAAATAAGTCTAAAGATTATCCTCAAAGTGTAATAATGCATTGACGTTCATCTGTGATTTTTCTATTCTCAATGGGATTAACTTATTGCTTACCAATAACACAGCATGTCTCCACTCGGTATTTATCAATCTCCACCAGGTTGTGGGCCAGATAACTTAATTCAGGCTTCATACTCTGTAAAGACACAAAGCACTGACTCAATAAAGAAACAAAGGGACCTCTGGATTTTCATGAAATCCACTTCATCCCTATTGATCATGTGCTTACATCTCAAATCTGAGACAACACATATAGAAGCTGTAAACTTACTTTGACATATAGCAAATTAGAAAAGGTGTCCATGTTGTCGATACGATACGGATCATGCTCCCTAAGTTCATTAAACAGCGCCAAAGCTTGGTCGATATCTTTAATAAACAGAGACAGATTACCGTTAGATTCCTCCTGCTCACACAGCATTTTCCTGACATTTAAAACTGGCCTTGAAACAAGTTTGAAAACCTCTAATGTTGTGGTAGGCAACAGCAATCTGCGAGATGATGTAGGTGCTCTTGGAGAAGCCGGCCTCGATGAGGTTTTGGTACTTCTGCAAAGCCTCTTTAATCATCTGGAGCTCTGTGTACATGTGGGCCATGAAGAAGTCTTTAATCCAGCAGTCAGGCAGAGACAGGGACTTTAACTGTAGAAAGAGAGCAGAAAATATAAAATCTATATGAAAAAAAACTTCCAAGGTTTGTAGCTGTAACATGACAAACACGAGAAACTTCAAAAGATGGTTACCATTTCGATGTTTGTGATGAGGTTACTAAGCTCCAGCCAGGCACCCCAGTGAAGAGGAAGGGCTTGAATTGCCTCCACAAACACTTCCACTGCCTCCTTCAGCAGATCCAGCTTTCGTAAAACAACCCCATACCTGTTTTCACACACACACACCCACACACATATGGCATCAAGTTTATTTGTAGTCCACCTGAATTATCTCATTAGTGAGTATCTTTTTGTAGAAGAAACACTTACAAATACAGCGTAAAGCCATCCAGCTCTCTTGCAGTGTGTTTCTTACTGAGCTCAACTCTCAGTTCTCGCAAAGCTTCATTACGCACCTGACCCTTCTCCAAAGGACCTAAAACCACACAGATTCAGACAAACGCTTTCCGAGAAGTAACTCCTCTGTTCTCTAAGTGGTGTAGATAAAAAGGATCTTACCCAAACTGTCTACAGTCTCATCATCCTTCTTTTTCTCGCCAGACTAAAAATAAACAGGCATCTATTCATAAAAATGCCTCCAAAACAGAGCGATCAAATTGTCACGCGAATCAGAGACAGATAAGTGTTTATTGAATATTACCAGATAGCGGGAATACATGTAGAGGAAATAAGCCTTCTGGCTACAGCAGCCCTTTAGAAAGTAAGCAGCACGGTCATACTCTTTCAGGTCAAAGTAGGATTTGGCCAAAGTGAGGGCATCCAGGTCTTGTGTGTCTTCCTGTATGAGAGGCAGACAATGGTAAGAAAACATTCTTCAATCCTCGTAATTACATGATTCAATAAAAATTTAAAAAGCCCATAAACTTAAACGTGTTTATGTACTAAATTTGATCTGAAAAATTGGCCAATAGGGGGCAGTATGCGTTTAAAGAGAATTATGCACACTGCCTTATTGAAAATCGTTGAGTCAATACCTTTTGTCCAACAACAGAAAATCAAATATCACTTCAAACAAATCTCAAAAAGTCTAAATTAAAATTGAATTTTAAAAAATGCATTTAAATGAAAAATCTGATTAAAATTGGCTCCAGAGAAAACATGTCACTTCTGTCAAAGACTTCTTGGATCAAGTTGTCACGGCCTTCTATTTTCCAAAAAAATCCAAATTTCCATCTAAGGCCGTGGGTGTTAAGAGGCGGTGATTTTGAACGCACTTCTTCAATGTTTGTAAAAAATAATTTATTTCTTGGAAAAAATAATGACAAAAAAATACATAATTAAAGTGTCTTAAAACATAGTCAAAATGAAAATTAATCTTAAAAAGGTGTCCAACAAAATGCTCCAGAAAGTGGTCAAAAAATCATTTTACCACCTCCCCTCAACACACCAGACATTTACCAAACAAATTTTCTTTGCCGCACCCAACACCCAGTGTGTTTTTAATTACTCAAATTAATGGGAGGGTCTAACAATTAACATAGTCTTACTCTAAACAATTCCAAATACAAAATTCTTACAAATGTCAATTCTAAATCAACTTAAATAAATTCTAACTACCCAAAAAAGAAACTAAATTGTTACAAATTATAATTCACAAAATTTAACATAAATGGCCACGACACAAGTATTTAGTAGACTACAATAATTCTGGTACCATGCATTAAAATTCAGCTTCATTAGTCAGTTGGATGCATATTCACTTCCACCTTTTTACCCACACTTGATATAAATCTTAGTAGGGAACGTCAGAAGAAAAGAGGAAAGATGAAACAATGGAGTCATCAATAAATTATGAGTTATGAATTGACTTACATACATGTACATAATAAAAGCACATGGCCACAAAGCTATACAAATTGATTAATGTGCCTTCAATGTAATTTCAAATATTGAATAAAAAATATATATAAAACGATTGAATAATGAACACAAGTGAGCTAATAATGAGATTTCTGACAAGCTGCATCATTACTGATTTTGTTTTTTCTTTATTATTCATGCATAAAATCCCCACTGAATATCAGACCTTGGTGACAGTGAGCTAACCTCAGTAAATGCTGGTTCTGGGGGCAATTTATCCTTGGGAAGGGGATCCAAAGCAAACGCCAACTCAGAAGCCCTGAAATGCAAATATTAGCATTTACCCCGCTTGTTTACTTGTCTACAGCAATAACAAGCGAAACGAAAATTCAATACCGTCACTAACTGGCAAACATCAACATATTTAATCAAACAGTGTCGTTAAACCTGCTATGTTTTAGCTTAAAACATGTTCATGTACAGCGCTAGTTTAGCTAACACCAGAGACATGGCGTTTATTTAAGTTATTTTTCTGTGTCAAATTGCAAAAAGACACACAATAAACGGCACATTTTTTATCTCGTACTCTTACCACTTCGCGCTATGCAAAAGTCCTCTTTCTTTACACAACGATATGACAGATATTAGCTGTTTCTTGATTTGTGCCAGATCTCCGAACTCACTGCACAGAGCCGCCATTTTCATATTTGACCAAGCGAGCAGGTGCTTGGTTGAAAAAAGAAGCCACGAGACGACATTCCTCTTCCCGTTCCCTTTCAGAACAAAAGCCGAGGACATTTTGAAATAAACTCCCTCCCACAAAAGAATACATATTTTTCAAAACTCTTACAAATGTGACAGATTATTTCCAACCTTAAAAAAGCATTATCCCAGTACCACCATGTTTTACTGCGAGTATATTCTCGTCAGGGTCAGTAGGCCATTTAAAACAGGAATTATAAATCCAGTGTATTCTCTGGATTTATTTCGAGTTGAATACAAAATCACTATCTAGATTTTTATTTGAAGACAATGACTGAAAACCATGTTCCATTTTTAAATGCACACTATTTTTGTCTTGGTCTTTCATATAAAGTCCTCAAAATACACCAAAGTTTGTAGTTGTAATGTGACAAATTGTAAAACTGGTATAAATATTAAATGGATACTTCTGGAAGGCACTGCGCATAAATATATAATTTAAGGTGAAAAACAACTTGTGTTTTTTTTTTATCTATTAATGTCAGGATGAAGCTATAAAATGAAAACAAACTTCTATGAAAAAGTGAGTACCCAGTTCGGCCAGGAGATGGCACTATATAGCTTGGTCAATGAATCCACTTTTGCACACTTTGAAAACATGTTTTCGTTTATTCTAATGTCACTATCCAACTCTCTATATGAGGTGAACAATTTTAGTCTTTGTGCTATGTTCCTGAAATATTGGCACTGTAAGATGACTGATCATCAAGTTCATGCTGACTATCCGCTTCACTCCGTTGGCTACTTTTTCTTACAAAAAACGATTTGTAGCTGGTTTGAAATGAATTGGATATCAGTGCTGGGATTCATAATGAGACCTAAATTGCCTTTAGTCCCAGAGGACTCCTTAAGAGGATGAGCGAATGACACAGTTTGAAATATGAAAATAGTAAGAAAGAATATGCCTGCAACAAGAAATTCTGCATGGATCTGGAGCTCTGTTTGGGAGGTCTGAAACATGTCCTGTAGAGAAAAAAGAAACTTGACATGTTTGATGATACTGTAATTGAATATTCACTCAGAAGAGAGCAAAATATAATTTCCCTTTATTTTGATGCGATGCAGTGTCATTGTCGACCATTACTCCCAACCCCCTGCAAGCGTTTCCGACCCACTGGTGGACATCATCTGTCAGAGGTGCTGCTTATTTTCTTCAAAGAGCAAAACTCACTTAGAGAGACTGACAAAGTAATCAAGTACTGCTGTGAGTTACAATTCCAAGCACACAACCCACTGAGCAAGTTGAAAAAGGTGAATAAAGGGAACATGCAGTCCATCTACTGTAGTCCTTCCTCACATCCACATAAACAGGTAATATGGACTAACACACAAAATTGTGTGGTGGCACACACAGTTTTGTTTGTGGAATTCACATTTTTGATAACTGGAAGCTGAATAATGCTATATCAGATTTATATGTTGGCTTTAGAGGCTAATGTTAGGTATTTCATGCAGAAAGGCCCAAAGGAAGTTGGTTGACTGCTTGGTGTGTATGCGGACATTTGGGCAGTTTCTGTGTTTCTGTGATCTTTGTGAAGAGCCATGTTGGTAAAGTAGGCTTTGTTTTATTTGTACATATCTTACTGAAAGCTAATGTTCTAATCCTTTCAACTAATATCTCAACTTAATGGCTTTTAGTATAATTTCTCATTTTGTCACACAAACAGCAAAAATACAAACAGTATTTTTAACCTAAAATAAATGGTCCCAATCTTTTCTTCATTATTATTTAGTCATACTTTATACTTCTAAGTTATTCACAGAAACATGGAGCATCCCATAAGTAATTCATAACTTTTTGATTGCTCATTGTACAAATATTATTGCAAAGGTCCTTTTCTTGAAGACACTGCCTACTAATGTTGGACAAGCTCCATATTTTATAGTTTGATGCACTACTGCTTTAACACATATGACACGCTGGTTTTGTCTTTCTATAATCGGCAGTGTCTGCCATGAGAGGAGCCATATGTTAATTCTCCCTCTGTATAAAGATAAAAGACAATCAAGGCCATTTCTTTTCAAAGAGCAAGATCAAAGCTTCAAAGTTGGATGTGAAAGGATCTTTATGTGTTCACATTCATAATGTATGCTCTCACCTTTGGCAAAAAAAAAAAAAAAAAAGAAAAATCCTTTTCTTTCTAGTCTCCCTTGAAATTTTCCACTGCAGTTGTACATAAAACAATGTTAGATGGTGGAAAAATAATCTATAAGTAAATGTCTGGGTCAACCTGAGAAATATTTGCAAAAAACAAACAATATTTTTTTGCAGTACATCTGTTCTGTTTGTGTAAATACGCATGAAAAGAGCCTTCACAGGCATGTCTTGTCCCTGTGGTTTTGATCTTTAGGGCCTTGTGCAGGAGCCTGTGATTGGCTACTGATGATGTTGTTTATTCGGCTTGAGAACAGCCGAAAGCCACGTGTCATTAGGGCTGCCACCACCTGAGCACTGGGCACCGCATCACATTGCCTGCAAGAGGACTCAGCATCGCATTGCTTTTCAATGGGCTTCTGTGCAATCACACAACAGAGAAGCATACATCTCACAGATAGAAAAACATGCTATTCAGGTAATGACACCAAAGCAATTTCAAGGTTTTAAGTCCTCTTTCCACCTCAGAGTGCACAGATAGGTTGTCAACTGCAGAGTAATCTGACATTTGTTCTCCTTTTTTTTCCTGTCCCGACCATGACGAAAGTGTTTTGATTGAGGTTGTAAGAGGCGATAGGGAAGGAAGCGCGGGTGAGAGGAAAAAGAGAAGCATCATAAACTCTATACTGTCCATCACTGAGACTAAATGCTACAAAAACCACAGCCTCCAAGTCAAAGGACTGTGTGATTTGCTCCAGAAGCATGTCAGGCCATGGATAATTGTTGAGACAGATGTGTCATGTCTGAGCACAGAAGTGGAGAGGGGGGATATGTGTTGCTTATGGGATTAATTTGCCTTTTGGGACAGGTGCTGTAGGGAGCGGGAAAAGACACAATAAGTTTAAGGTTACATGGAGCCTGCGATCAACTTCTATCCCCGACCACAGCGCTGGGGACTGGCTCAGTCCTGAGAAAAAGTATTTGCAGTCTTCTACATTTCTTCTGTTTATGCTTTTTCTGTAACATTTAATTGATTTATATTATTAAATGAAGGTTATCATGAGCCAAATATGAAATGAGTAAATACAAAAGAGGTTTTCAAATGATGATTTTATTTATTACGGGGAACAAATGGTCTAAACTAACGATGTGAAAAAGAAAAACAGATCAACCATATTTTTAGGAAAGCTGGGTTCACCTTTACTTGCCACACCAAACAATGACTTCTGGCAGCCTGTATATGAAAAAAAACAACCTTAACCAGAACCTGTCAAAGAACAAAAAAGTAGAATAAATTATCTCAGGGAGCAACAGATTATTTTCTGACCTACAGAAATTCAAGAACAAAATCTATATTTTTCACACAAGAAAAGGTTACAAATCTATGTCTGAGTCAAAATCTGTGATGTGGAAATATCTGTTTTCCACAAATGAAAAGAATACAGAAGAGTAACCAGCAAAATACAAGAGTGTGTCAACAAGTTGTCCAGGAATCCACAAATGTAGCTTGACTTCTAATGCTCTCCTGACCTTGTTTACTTTAATAAAGGTCAGTGTTTATGAGTCAACAAGATGAAAAAGACAGAACAAAGATGGTCTGGTTCCAGAGTGAAAATCTGCTTCAGTCTTTTAGGATCTGGATGAGTGGCTGAATTTGATGAAAATCTGCCCCCTATGAGAAAATGCTGAATTGCATTTCAACTCACAGAGGCACAAAAGACGCATAGCAAGTTTCATCAAACCTTTCATGGCAGCTGTTGGTGCTACAACCTGTTAGATTTAGGGGGAAATTCCTTCTTCATATTGGACCAGGTTGGTTAGGACAGTACAGTATTTTTCTTAATGTGTGAAATGACCATTTGTAAATTGTGGTTTGTATTCACTCAATATAGAAATGTGCTTTATCTTAAACTTTTAGGTGTCACAAAAGAATAGACAAATAAAACCCCAGGAAAAATTCTGCAAGCTGGCCAAATACTTTTTTCACCACTCTGTGGCATCCTGATTCATTTGGAAAGTCTCTGTCAGCAGTATGCTTTTACACCACTCTTATTACATCCTGTAATGCAACACCATTCTGGCTCTCGGTCTTTGCAGATTTTGGCTGGCTCGACTGATGCAGCCAGCTGGTCAAAACAAATTAAACATAGTCGCTCTGAATCACCCGTGATCAAAACCAGACACTCCGTCATAATTTCACTGACACACAAAAAGGAACCACCTGTCAGATTTCACTGAGCACAGGTCTTATAAATTCAAGTTGTAATGATTTCACATCAAAGTGGCGGTAGTCTGCTGGAGGAGTTATGTTGCACAGAATAATCTGGACAAGGAAGAAAATACAGTCATATGTAATTATCAGCAGATGTAACTCAGGCCAGAAATGGCAGCATAGAGTATGGATGGGGATCCATACTCTGCTTCCAGGGCTACATAAATACATTATTTAATATTGAATGATTCATGGTTTTACCCACAAATTCTGATATAAATCCTGCTTCCTTCAAAAAACCTTGAAGAAATAATTCATAACAGAACAACGTGTTCTCTGTTCCCTCCAACTATGGTGCACTGCTTGCTTATAATTAACAGAGAGGACAGTTTTTTACATATGTACATGAAGCTGCTTCGCAGGCATAAAATTGGAAGTGTGCTTCATACCAGTGACTGCATTGACAGTGCCTTATAAAAGTATTCCTACTATTTCTAGTTTTCACCTTTTGTTATGTTATGCAAGAAATTTTTTCTGATGAAAAAGTATCTTCAGTTTTTTCAAGAAATATACGACATCCTGTGTGTTCAGCCCTCTGACGTCAAAACTAGCTGTAATTACAACTGAAAGACTTTTGGAGTGTGT